GTAGGCTTCCTGCACACCTTCACCGCCCACACACCAAACCCACCCTCTTTCCCTGCCCCTTACGCCCACGCCCTTGACCCTTGGCCATCCACATTCTTATTTTTAATGAAATGCATCCGTTCTCTTGTCCGCTGCATTGTTCCACTTACTGCATTGCAGTGCATTTGGAGTGTTTTTAAGACGAAAAATGCATAATAAAATGCATCATTTATCGATCATACCTGAAATCTAAAATTCTGTCCTCTTTATCGCATATTCTCGCATATGATGGTTATTTGGAAATGCAAGTCGCTTGGAAAATCTTTCGTGAATCGTCCGCATGCAAGCACATCGGCGACCCAAGTTTGCCGTGAATGCACAGGTCACATACGCAGTTCCTGTGAGGTCTATTTTGGTTGTCGTTCTTGACCGAGTGTGCACAAATTCTTCAAAGACTCCTCTTGAAATGATATGATACCGTTTACTTTGATGTGAGAGGTCTCTTCGCTTTTTTTAATCTTGATTATTGGAGAGAAGTCGGCGGGATGCGTGTGCGCATAGAGTGCATACTGTGCATTCTACGATCCACGACTTCTTACCCGTGACAACTTCTTTCGCAACCTTCTGTTAATGTGTTCTCGGACCTAGATGCAATAATTGTGGGCTTCATTACATGTATTTTAAAAAGTTTTAGTGAGTTAAATGGTTGTTATTCTCGGATTGCAGTTCGAATGCCTCGCAACATCTTTCTTAAGATTTTCTCAAGAAAACAATTATCTCCTTTACAAACTTTACTTACAGTGACTACCACCATTACTTACCTCACTAAAAACCAAACAGTTGAAGATATTGATCAGCTTGGCTTCGAGTTCTTACGAGAAATATCGGCATTAATACGTTAATATTGCATTAGCATAAGGCAATGTTGACGAGCGAGATTCGGGGAGCGGGCGCCAGAGGGCAGCACTGAACGGTGGTTTGGGCGGAACTTTACGCGTTAAAAATCAATCCCCCCCACAAGCAGGGGCGAGGGGGCGGGATCACACATCAAATATTAGTCACATGGGCGCGATAATGCCGTAATTATCTTGTAAATGTAGACGCATTTCTTCTCCCACGCGGATTATTACCGCAATTTCTCTCTGGCCAGTTTGTGTGTACTACTCCCCTCCCTCCGACCCTGCTACGGCCGTAAGATCGTACGCCAGTCACTCGTAGTAAATAAAAGAAAAAGGTCGGGAGAGATGTCCCCGGCGGCATGTAGTAACTCGACCGGGTAGGGATAAAGTTGGCGGCCATTGGGGGAGGGAGAGAGGCGTAGGTCGGCGGCCGCAGGTCTCGGGCGGGAGAGCGACCAAAGGGACGGCCGGGGAGGTACAGGCCGCCCGGGACCTCTTGCCAGGAGAGGGATGTATTGCCTGTTTATTTCTGCCGCTGAAAAATGTGTGTATACAGTATTTGCTGTATATATATGTTTTTACGTATATGTATATATATATAGATAGAGAGATAAATAGATATTTGTACATATGTATATAATATTATATATGTATGACTTATATATATATATATATATATATATATATATATATATATATATATATATGCATAAATATATAAACCTTATACCTGAATAAAAGAAACAAAGTTTCGTACATAAATTAATTTATACATCATGTAATGTCCATTTTTTCATTCAAAGGTTGAGATTTTAAATTTACAAACATACATACATATATATGTATATGCATATATGTACATAGATATTTATATATATATATATATATATATATATATATATATATATATATATATATACATATATATGTTTATGCATATATATATGTATATATGTACATATATAAATATATATATATATATATATATATATATATATATATATATATATATATATATATACACACATATATATGTTTATGCATATATATATATATATATATATATATATATATATATATATATATATATATATATATGTGTGTGTGTGTGTGTGTGTGTGTGTGTGTGTGTGTGTGTGTGTGTTGTGTGTGTGTGTGTGTGTATACATATAATATATATGTGTATATATATATAAATACATATATATGTGTGTGTGTACGTATATACTTATATATATAGCTCGTTTTTAATGGAAACTTGCAAGATTACTCGGAAATAAAGGAAAGTCAATATTGATATTCAATTATGACAATAAGGCCTCTCTCTTACACACATAATTATGTACTTCAGAAAGTTTGTAAAACGTAGTCATTTTTCTTGGAGCGTAATGAAAAGTCAAGACTTGCATATTATAATGCAGCTGGCATGAATTATTCCCACGCTGGCCTGTCTATGTTCTTTATTCATACGTACTTACTCAAGGCTGGCGGACCTCAGCCAAAAGCCGGACTCAATTTTATTTTGGAAAATGTGAAAAGCAGCCACGGGTGCATCGTCGAACTTTAGTTGTTGTTGTTGTTGTTGTTATTTCCCTTGCTCCTTAATACAGATAAACCATTCGTTGCTGTGTAGAACGCTCGCCTACACTGAACCTGCACAGGCTGAATGCTGAGTGGGTTACCTACCGGCTATATAACCCGTATTAAAATATGTTTTATGTCCGAGTGTTGTTTCTCGCTCCCGAGTACACACACGTTGAGGGTTGTATAATACATGACTCGCCTGAGGCAACTTAAATGTAGTAATAGCGGTAGTAGTAGTAGCAGTAGTAGTGGGAGTAGTAGTAAGAATATGGATGGTAATGAGAATAAGGATAATGATGAAAAAAGCGGTGGCACTTTTTCATTCATGGATTTTGTCAAGGAATGGCTGATAACACGCAGAGAAAGTTATTTTACAATGGTAATACGAGTATATATATCATTTATTTTTTTCATGAACCAAATGATGCAAATATGTAAATCAGTCATGAAGTTTGGCTTCTCTTCGTCATTACCACCGTCACTATTTCCCAGATATTCGGTTTTCTTTATTTCTCTTTCTTCCTCCTCCTCTTCTCCCTCTTCTTCTTCGTCTGTCTTCCTCCCTATTACTTCCACTCATTCATCATTTTTTCCTCTCTATTCTTTTACTTCTCCTCCTCCTTCTTCTTCAACTCTTATCTTCCCTTTTCTCATTCTCCATTCGTCCACAGAAGACAAAACAATATAACCTGACTGTGGCATGATAATACACACACGAGTTCCCACGAAGGAAAATGCAACATTTATCCCGAAATTCCGTTACCCCCCCCACCCCCACCCCCCCCTTTCTATCCCTACTCCCATCCCCTCTCTCAAAAAAACTCTAACTTGCAACAACTTCGCCACACCCCATTGATCTTGCATATTGACCAGAACAGACTATGGCTGAATTAATAGCTTTGCCTTGCACATTGCCGCCCGCGAGAGCCAACGGGAGTTTTAAAATATCAAACAATTTAAACTTTTACAAATTCCCGCCAGATAGCGAGTAAATTTTAACAAGATTTCGAGCGGCGGAAAAAAACGCGGGTCTTTGGACTGCGTTTTCTATAAAGTAAAATGAATGTATTGACTGTGTTCTGTACTTGTGTTTTTTTATATGTTTTTTTTTTTCTGTGATTTGTTTATTATAATTATTGTTGGAGTTTTTTCTTTTTCTCAGATTACATGTTGAACTGAGATTTGATGATGATGATAACGGTAACAGGAATTGTTATTATTTTTATCGTTATTATCATCATTATTATTTTTATCCTTATTTCTATTAGTGTTATTATTATTATTATTATTACTATCATTATTATTATTGTTATTATTATTGTTATTATTATTATTATCATTGTTGTTGTTGTTATTATTATTTTCTTTATCTTTATTATTATTCGTATTGTTATTATCATTATTATTGCCGTTATTGTTATTAACATTATTATTGCCGTTATTGTTATTATTATTATTATTGTTATTGTTGTTATTATCATTATTATTATCATTATCATTATCATTATTGTTACTACTATCATTATCATTATTGTTGTTACTATCATTATTATAATTTTACTATTATCTTCATTATCGTTATCATCATTATAATTATTTATATTATTATTATTTATATTATCATTATCATCATCATCATCATTATCATTAACATTAACATTATCAGTTACCATTATATTCATAAATTGTAGCGGTAGTAGTAGTTTCATTATTTTTATGAATATCATCCGTTACTTTGAAATAAATAAATCATAATAATATTACATGAAACAAAGGATACGACAGAATCAATAACAATAAAAAGAATAGAAAATTAAACAAAAGAAAATACATGAATATATGACAAGAAAAACTATATTTGGGAAGAGAGTTTGGAGTCGTCGAGGGCAAATATTTAACAAAGGTTCGAATCCTGTTTCGATCTGCATTCCATGGCGTTTTCGAACCGCCAATATGTCATCCTGCTTCACTGTAGTGTTTCGGTGTGTCAACAATTCGCACAGTCCCGGGTTCTTTACTTTCTCTAATCGCACCTCCCATCCTTTGCCTTTCCCTCTCGTCACATCCCACTTTTTCTTATTCATCCTGTGTTTAAACATATTCATGTATCCTCTATGTTATGTTCAGTGACTGATAGGTACTCACTCCATTATGGTGCAAAAGCGCTTACCTCTCTCTCTCATTTCGGGAGGGAAAAAGAAGGCTTATTCACGTTTTGGCATTTGCATTCATTTCCTCGGATATTCTGTGATATTGGGCCTTTATTCCCACGTTTTTTCCCCTCTCCTTTGGCCAACCCTCTTGCGTTCGTATATTTTCTGGATGTTTTTTTCCCCAAAACCGCCCCATGCACCGTTTTTTTTTTTTTCCCCGGTGAAGTTATTCGGCACTCGACCCACGGAATAACTGCTTGGCTGACCCACAAGTATGTATAGACCGTAAAAATACAAGCTGTGAGTGTCTCTTTATCTTCTGTCGTTTTCTCATTCTCTTTTCCTTCCCCTTTTCCGTTCCTCTCTTACATTCATTTCCATTCTC